CTAGCAAGCGCAAGGACCTAAGTTCAATCCCCGGTTCCGAAAAAAAAAAAAAAGGACAGAGCCAACATTAAAAGACACTGCTAAAGGATATTCATAGAGGACATACACAAAATTGGATCATTGATTTAGTCAATCTAAAATACTTGTCAAGTAAGTGCAATTATGCCAACATTTTTATTGCAAATATAATTAGGCATTTTAAGAAAAAATAATTACTATTCTTTTGGTTTTCCAGCAATTGTTTAGAAAATATGCATTTTTAAATTGGAAGATATGGAATACAGAACAACAGGTTAAGGAGATTGGGACTTTGACAAATGTGTTCAATCCCAGTGCCTATAATGGTCAGGAAAGTAGAACAACTCATGAAGCCAGCTGATGTACAGTATTCCAAATTTTAAATCTAATATGGGTGAAGATCAAATAAGATCAAGCTTTTGCTAATGTAGCTTTTGATAAATGGTATCAAATAACAAAAAATTTTATTGCAAGTATGAAATAAAAATGCTGTAGAGGGGCCGGGGAGATGGCTTAGTGAAATAAGCGCTTCCCTGGCAAGCGCAAGGGCCTGAGTTCAATCCCTGGTTCCGCAAAAAAAAAAAAAAATGCTGTAGAAAGGATTGAAATTGTTTATAAGAAAAATATAGTTTTGGGTAAGCATTAGAGCCTCTTCCAATCCCATCTTTAATACCTGTGGTTTTTCCAAAGAATAGTATCTTCATTTAAGATAAACAATATATGTTTGAAAATCATATAGTCACTATTAAAAAGAAAATAGAATAATTTTTAAAACAGTGAAATAAGGAGAACCACAGAGCAGGAGTGAAGCCAGAATTAGTCTGGCGTCAGTGTAGCAAGTGATGTAAGCTGTCAAGGCATTCTGAAGCAGCTTTGGATAAGAGATCAGCCAAGGATGAAGAAAGACCATTTTAGAAGAGAATGAGAAACAGTCACTAAGGAAAGTGAAGTAATTCAACCATTAAATTAATTCTCACATGTTTACCAAAGGAATGATGAAAAATATGCCTACACTTCTGTTTCTCAAGAAAAGTGTTAAAGTCATCTAGGTGATTGAAATACCAAGTATACAGACAATATCAGTGCCAAGTTTTAACCCTAATGTTGCCCTTTCAAATCTCTTTATCGCTCAAGAAAGAAACCATAAGCCTTATCCTTGACCCCTTACATTCAGGTTAAGTAACACCAGATACTGGTAAAATGGAAGACAGAGTTATATTTGATGTGCTTCCATCTGTCTGAGGTAACCAATTTTTCTGCCCACAGGACAAAATAGCTCTTCCTTAAATTGAATGAAAAAGAATTGGGTGTATTGCAGAACCTGAGACACTATACAAATCTGTATTTCATTTTCAAAATCCTCAGATACATAACACGATTTCCTTGAGTTTGCTAATTGGTGATAATTTTCACCCCTACTTCTCTGTTAATAGAAAGAATACGTTTTTATTTCAAATCATTAAAAGCCTGAGAGTAAACTGCAGTCTGACACAAATAAAGTTGTCACAATGACATGACAAAGCACACTGGACTGGATTCTGACTGAGTACATAGTTCTATAATTATTATTCTGGTGCTGCAAAGGGAGAATGGGGAATGTTACTTGTTTTCACTTATGTAAAATCTGTAGAAAGACAGAACAAAATTACTCCCATTTGATACTTATTTAGCATTTAGGCACTCTATGATTGTCTTATCATAGATATTCTTCATATTGTACATGTGAAGAAAAGTGAGTTGCTTATAGGTAAACTATGATTCTTCTTGCTCTGGAAAGTTCCAGTGTGTATCTGTTGTCTCGTTGTAATTTTTAATACCATCCTGTTTTAGAGTCTAAAGTTCCACAGTTTTGATTATAAATTTTATTGTCACCCTTATCATAGTAGTAGATGGCAGACTGGAGATTTAAATAATAATCTTTTGATTTATTTTTTTTCATTGAGCATGGCTTTAAATTGGATTTTATATAGTGAGAATACAATAGAAATCAGTGGCTGTCTTTGGATGGTGTACTTTTCATACTCCCATTTCCTGACAACTGCTCATTCCTCTTCATATAAACACTTTTATCTCTTGTGTTCCCTTTTTTTCTATCTTACCATTGCAAGTCACTACCACATGTTTCAAATTCAGACCACAGAACTTCAGTACTGCATTTGCTTTTTTGTTGTTTCAATCCCTTGTCTTCACATTTTCTTCACTGTGTAAAATCACAGTCAAATCGCTTTGGACACAGATTCTTACATTTACTTATTTAATACCAAATATTTAGCAATAAATATCCCTAGGCTGTAAAACAGAAACTACAATACACCAAAACTTCCTCTTGTTCTGTCAAAGCTCAGGGTAATCGTGCTTAATCAATTTTCTTTGATCTCCAATACTTTTTTTTTGACACTCATGTTTCCTGCCAGATTATCAAACTACATAAAGCTGCACATTTTTGCATAGCAAGACATCTACAAAAATCACTTCAATCTCTATAATTATTATTATTTTTATATTTGATAACATAGATTCAGGAATATATGAAATGTGGATCAGAAGGAGTATTCAAAATGAACATATTGAATAAAGTAATTATGACAGAGGGATGGTTGGCTCTTTGTTGAATTTTGTCTTTTCAATTCTCATAATAGAGTTATTGAATGAAGTGATTGGATCTGAGAGAGGTGATTTTGTTGGTGCCAGGAATGAAACTCAGGACCACAAATGTGTCAGGCAGGTGCTTGTGCTACTGAATTATATTCCTGGCCCTAAATTAGTATATCTGAAAACTCTGGCTTAGCACTTGTCTAATGAAACTGTAGCAATGTAGCAAATCCTCAAGTGAAAGAGCTTTCTTTGAGTTACTACATTAAAAGCAAAGAACATTCTAATCTTTGTTCAGACATATGCTATTATTATGTTTATGATATTTTATAAGATTAGTAATTAAAAATCTTTGTTTTCCCTGCTCAGTATTTAGTAACTTTTTATAATTGCTGGCAAATAGGTGTGCAGTGGCACCTAGCCTTGGTGCACATACTCCACTGACGTGTGCTGTAGCAGTGGATGTTGTATATAAAATGTGCTCCAGTATTTATTGATCAGAAAACATATTTTTGTACACATGCTCTGTAAAAAATGAAATCATTTGAAAATTTAACTTTAAGAAGTAGGGTTTTAAAATTATAATACAACATTCAACAGCTAATGTTCAAATTGTGAACATTTTTGTGTAATAAAATATCTTATTTATAACTTGCTAAAAACAATATAATTAATATTTTATGAAATATATTTATTTACAGTTACTCTTTGGAAATTTCAGATTTATTTGTAGCTGTGTGATCTCTCTATGTTTTCACTTTTTAAGTATTTGATATATATGCTTATGGTAAGGGCAACATATTTACTTTAAGCAATGTATCCATTGAGCATTGTTAAAAATCTGTTATAGTATAAATTGATCATGAGAATATATAATTATTATATATGATAAGAACTACAAATTAGAGTTCATTGTTCATAAAAGAAGAGGGTGTCTGTTAAAAAAAACCTCAGGCAGTAAGTTGGAAACCTAGGATACAATCTACAATAATGGTGAGAAAGAGCAGATATTTTCGAAAAGGACACTCAATTTCTCATTGGATTAAAGGAAGCCAAGAAAAACTAAGTCATTACAGCATGAAAATAAAATCTAGAACCTCAACTTCTTATACCCATAACCAACTATATGAAAATAAATGATTTGAACAACAATGCAAAAATATTACAAGTAGCTATAAAGGATATTCATATCTTGAAGTTATCAATGACTGTTGAATGATTATGAGTAATATAGTTAAGAAGTGAAAAATATTGGTAGAGAACTAGGTACTAAAAATTAAGGAAATTTTGTAAACTCTAGAATTAAAAATAAATTAACTGAAAATGAGATTCAAAACTGAGTTTAGCAGCAAAATGGATACAAATGAAGGGTTAAATAGTGAATTGGAGATTAAACTGAGACATTATTTATTCTGAAGCACAGAGGGAAAAAAATCAAGAAATATAAAGACTCAACATCAAGCATAGGCCTTAGAAACTACATATGTTATTCTAAAGTGTCTATATCTGCTCTGTTTAGTAGATGAGGCTGTACTTGTTTTAGAAGAGCTGTGAGTTGACAATCTGATTTGGACCAGGAATATAATGAAAATCACTAGTGAAAGTTCAAGACTATGATATTACTTTACCAAAGTGATATAAACATTTTAATTCTTATATCAAGTGCCTGTACATGTCCTATGTCAATGAAAGATTGAAACAGCATATAGTAGGATATCTGTTGAGCCTCCTGATAGGATGAAATTGCCACAGATGCTGAATTTCCTGTCTTTGGATCTGTATCCAAAATGGTGGTGTTGGAACCAGGGAGATGGCTCAGTGGAATGAGTACTTCCCTGGAAAATACAAGGGCATGAGTTCAATGCCTGATTCTGTCAAAAAAAATGGTGATGCTACAATAAAAATACAGATAATGACATAGGCAAAATATTGCACATAATGGATGTATGCATAAAGAGGAAAAAGAAAATGGAGAGAAAAATACTGAAGACATAAAATTTGATAGTATCCCAAAGTGATAATGTCTTTGGGGTGATTTGTCAATATTCTGTCTCCCTAAAAAAGGTATGTAACTACTGTGCAAAGAATGATAATAACAAGGATAACTTCTATTTTTTATTATACAATGTCCAAATATTTTAAATGAACAATTAACCAAAAATTATAAAACATCACCAATTGACTGAAGCCTAAGATACAGAAAATCTATCAATAGTCACCAACTCATTGATTATACAGACATTGAAATTATCAGATATAGAATTATAAATAGCTATAGTGACTATCCTTAAAAATACAGACAAAAGTTTGGAGAATGTCATGAGGAACTATACAATCAAGTGGATATCCTGGAAATAAAGAAATAGCTCAAATTAAGAATTTGAATAGTAGTGTTCACTTTGGCAGCACATATATTAAAATTGGAATGATAGAAGAAGATAACCATGACACTTGTACTGGGATGACACACAAATTTATGAAACATATATTTTTAAAAACTCTTTATCTTCCTGTTCAAATGAGAGAATAGATACTTGATATAAAAATTATTTTTAAAAAGAATTTAATCAATTTAATTGTACAATAGAAGGTAGAATAGATAAATAGTGAAATGATAGATAGGTCAGTATAAATTATACAAAATTAAATATACCAACTAAATGAATGAAACACACAAAAAGATCACTAGTTGTGTAACTATAGTCAGGAAAGAGGAGATGTGATTTGATCAAAAGAATATTTAAAACATCAGCTATTCTTTTCCAAAACTGATGACTAATAGCAGCTATAAATAAGATAACACACTACACACACACACACACACACACACACACAAAAGCATATCATATCAATAATTGAAAAAAAAGAAAATCGGCTTTTTTAATGTATTTAGTACAGGGTCTATACGGGCTCACTACACAGATCAGAGTTGTAGTGATCCTTCCTGTTTTTCTGCCTCCTAAGCACTGGGATTACAGGTGCCCACTTTCATGCCCAGTGTCAGTTGACCTCTCAGGGATCCCTGGGAGCAGGGCCAGCATGGATCACCAGGGATCGAACCCTGGTCTCTGTGCCTTCCTTAGCAGGTGTTTTAGTCCCTTGAACTATCTGGCCAGCTATACAAAGAAAATCTTAAAACTGACTGAGCTAATTTTTTAAAGATTACTCTCTTTTTTTCATTAAGTTTATTGAAAATCAAAAAATATATAGCATATTGAAAATTGTAGACAAATAATGAAATGTGAAAGACATGAGATGTAAACAGTGAATTTTAGAGAAATATTTCTGAAATAAATACATAGCATAAGATTAATAATAGATTGTAAATTGTAAAAAAGTTAGAGATTTAAATGAATAGAACAATAAAAATTGTCTAAAATCAAAAAGAAAGAATTCATTTAGTAGTTCACTCTGTGCCAAAATCAAGAAACTTATATTCTTATAATTAAAGTTCACAAAGTAGAAAGAGGTAGGTGATAAATATTTAAAGATTTAAAATTTCTGAATTTAGTTGAAATTATAGCACCACATTTCCAAGAAAAGTAGAACGTTTGCACAAGAAATATGAATAAAATCATACAAAGATATACAAAAATGAAATTATCCAAAACTAATTGTAAAGAAAAAATCATTAAAGCATATACATAGAAAATATTAGTTATAGAAGAACAATATTAATAGGATCTTATTCCACATTAGAAAAATAAAAAAGTGCAAGTGGGTAAGAAACTAGACTATTTAATTCAAAGGACTGAAAATTATCTGTCCTCATTGAATTTTATGCTTAGCAAACATAACTTTGAAACCTAGAAGTAAAATATTTTTCAGTTATACAAACTCAATTTTTTTTAAATTGGGCATTGAACTCAGGCCCTTGCACTTACCAGGGAAGCACTTACTCCACTGAGCCATCACCTCAGCCCCCAAAACACATTCCATTTTCAGAATTTTTTTCTTTGCAGTACCTGGGATTGAACTCAAGATGCTGTGGCAAGCACTTATTCTACTGAACTATCTCCCCAAGCTTCAAAATATTTTAATACCTCCAGACATAGCATATAGAAAATGACAAAGATCATAGTCCAGAAGGCAAGAGAAATTGCTGTATGGTCCGGGATAAAGAATAAAGATCTCTCAAAATGGTAGTTATGCAGGACTATGTAAAACATAATTATACTAGAAGAACTCATTGAAAAGGTCATAGAAGATTTCTACAAAACAATATCAATCTTATATCAGGTTATATGCTTATTTTTTTCGTGTGTGTATGTGTCTGTGTGTGGGTGTGTGTGTGTGTCTGTGTCTGTGTGTCTGTGTGAAAAAGACAAGGAAGAAGTAACATAAAGTCAATGGAAAACAGAAATATATATTTAAAGTTTCTAACTCTAGGAGAAAATATCATATCAATTCAGAATACTCACATAGTATTTGCATAGATTAATGTATACAAAAATATCAACTAAGAAAAAGTGTTCATGATAGTAAAGAATTAGTAAGAATAAAACATAACAACATACTGGAATAGCAGATATATGACCAACACTTCTAACATTTTAGGGTTAGGATATCACACAAAGTTCTAGTAGGTCATGGACATGGAGAGTGTTCATGACATTTACTGGTGGCCAGGTGTTATTTGTGAGATTGATCCACTACTGTTTCCTCTATATCCACCCTGCAGACCCAGACAGAATTATTACCCAGAGGGAGCAGAAGTCCATTTGTAGAGTATTCTGATGGAAATATTTTGCTGCTGTATGCAGAAGAATAATTGAAAGACTGCTTTTGTACACCTCTTTTTCTCCTGTGTTTAATTGTTTGCCCTATTTGGTTTGGCTGTTTCGTTCCCTTTGTGGAGTGTGGTCATTTGATCCCTCTCTAAAATATCTTTTATTAGTCTGTGTAGGATTGGCTTTGTCATAATGAAATTCTTTAGTTGTTCTTTGTCATAGAAGTATTTCACTTCTCCATTAAACTTGAAAGAGTTTTGCAGCATATAAGTCTGGGTTGGAATTTGTTTTCTTGCAAGACTTGCAGTACTTTGTTCAAAGCTCTTCTTGCTTTCATGGTGTGAAGAGAAATCTGCCATTATCCTGTTGTGTTTTCCTTTAAATGTGATCTGTTTCTTTTCTCTAGCAGCTTTTGGTATACTGTTCCTGTGCTGAATTTCTGGCATCTTGATTATTATAGGTCTGGGTGTGGGGTTTTTTTTGTGTGTGTTAATGTTATTTGGAGTTCTATGTGTTTGGTTACCTCAATGTTAGATTGTTCCCCATATTTGTGAAGTTTTCTGCTATTACTTGTTCCCATATTCTTTTTATATCATTTGTATTAATTCCTTCTTTCTCATTGATGCCTATTAGTCTTACATTGTTCATCTTTGCATCGTCTTGCAGATGTTGAATTATTATTTCCTGCATCCTAGTTGCTTTTAAGAGATCTTTACTTACCCTTTCACTAGCTGAAAGTGTGCCTTCAAGGTCTGAAAGTCTACTTTCACTTTCATTTGAATGGTTTTGCCACCTTGTGATTGAAGTTTTAAATTCCTGTATATTTTTTGTTATATAGGTTTTGCTTTATCTTGGTCTTAACCATCCAGTAGAAAAGTATAACCACAAGGTATAAAAAGAGAAGCCAGAGTAATATGTTTATCTGTAAAAGTCTCAAATCAACAACTTGTGACATTAACAGTTCTGCTGATGATAATTCATTACTATTATGAACTATTGGACTATATAGTGTTATTTTGCTGAATGCATGCATCTACAATATTTGAATGGCAATGGATAGCCCATCTCTGACAAAACAAAGCAAAAAGGGGGATACAAATGAAGGACTATTTTTTTTTTT